CTTGACTGAAATGTGACGTTCTGTAACAATTAAAAGATGAACAAGAAATCATCAACTAATAATCTAAATATCAAGTTAAATCAGTAAAACTCTCACATACAGGTATATTAGTGGTCAAGCAATCGTAATAATGACAAAATTCTCATTTTATTTGCCACTTGGTGCAGGTTTTTTCTTATATCACGTATTAAGAATTAAAATGATAATGAACGAGTAAATGTCTCCCCTGCATTTTAAAACATCCTTTGCTATGGCAACTGCCATAGAGTTACTATCATTAATATTTAAAATATTTTTTTATTAAAAAAATTCAACAAGTGTCTATATTCTTATTTGTAATTTTCAACCACTTTCACTAATAAATAAATAAAATAAGAAGAAATTCCATGAACTTTCGGATCAATCCTCGTACATGTCAGTCATTAAATTTATATAATATACAGTATGCATAAGGGAGACCAAATGTATTATTACTGCATTAAGGAGACCAACCACTATCCACATGTAAATCAGTATTCAACCACTTTCACTAATAAAAAAATAAAAAATGAAGAAATTCCATGAGCATTTGGATCAACCCTCATACATGTCAGTCATTAAATTTATATAATATACAGTATGCAGAAGGGAGACCAATTGTATTATTACTGCATTAAGGAGACCAACTACTCTCCACATGTAAATCAGTATTCAACCGCTTTCACTAATAAATAAAAAAAAATATGAAGAAATTAGTGATGAGATATCAGTTAATTTTCATAATCAATCATCGGTTGGAATCGGTTACTGCTTCTGATGTGATTTCACCGATTATAATCGGATTTCTTCATAGTTTTGTATACAAAAAGCAGACTATTACAATTTCATTTATTTCTTTAACATGAATATATAAAATACATAATATATTATTTTCTTTGTTGTTTTGCTTCTTTTACACTTTCTAGACCTAAAAATATTTACAGTGGACACCCAACATGGCTGCCTAGTGGCAGAAAACGAACTTCAGAAAGTTGTGGGGGGAATTGATCAATCTATATTTAAGGTAAATGTTGACTAGGTTGCATATTTTATATCTCAAATAAAAGATACAATTAATATTTTTTAAATAAAAAGAATCAGCTGATTGATCAAACCAAAGAGCAAACACAGATTTGGCAGAAAAAAAATTCACCCGGGGGTAAATTGAATTGGTCGGTCGGGTGATTACAGGAAACAAAAATAATTTTTTTTAGGCCCTTTATATGCATCTTCGGTTCTTAATCACCTCTGCTTCGTGCTAGTTGGCTAGTATCAGATGCAGATGCCATTTTCTTTCATTAAGAAGAAATAAATTTTAAACCAGAAATGGATAATTCCGGAATGTATTGTATTAGAAGTATGTTTCCGATGATCGATTATGAAAAACTATAATCAATCATCGGAATCGGTAACATTTTTTTGTCGACAATCAATGTTTTCTGATTATCGGTACAACACTAGAAGAAATTCCACGAACTTTTGGATCAACCCTCGTACAGTCCCTGAAACGTTCTACTTTCCCACTTGAACGGTGAGCGAACGCTGAACGAACGGTGAACGAACGGTGAACGAACGCAGAGCGAACGGTGAGTGAACGATGTGTGAACGCTGAATGCAACTTGGTGAACGATGTGTGAACGCTGAACGGTGAGCGAACGCAGAACGCGAACGGAGCGCAAACGCGAACGCAAAGTGAACGGTGAACGAACGGTGAACGCAAGATGAACGATATATTCGGAATGCCTCTGATCTTTTCCTTGCATTGAAACTATTTTATTGTATTATAATGTCAGGTGCCAAAAAAAATTAAATAAATAAGTAAACCAATAAATGAATGAATAAATAAGTAAATAAAATAAATTCTCCAATATTGTCGTAAGAAAGACGATTCATGCACATTAAGTTTTTAATCAAACGATTTTTAAGCATTAAAACATTGCAATTGTTGCCGAACGCTGAAGTATAAAAGATATTTTTTTAGTTGGAAAATAAAAATGTTTATTCTTATTTGATAACAAATCAGAGAAAACTTCTGACTTATAGAATGAATTAAAGCGATTGTAACATCCATTCATATTTCTCCGTGTCAAGGCGATTTCATGTAAAGTAATGCAAAAAAATTAATTACAAAGGTCAGTGGACGTTTTGCATTTATACGCTTGTATTTAAAATTTTTAATACAATAATATATTATGTGTCATTTCTATTTTTCATGATGATTTATTGAGCATACTACTACATGTATCTGTAGATGGCCGTGATTATACTCGGACAAGATAATACAAAGATACATATTCATATAATTTGTTATAAATTCAATTTTCAGAACTTGATATTTAAGTAATATGCTGTTATAATTTTTATTAAACAGACAAGAGAGAGAGAGAGATATTCCGTTTTAGCCCCCCCCCCCTTCTTTTCAGGCTTCACTAAATGTTTGTACCTATATCAAACAATAACTCTGAAATTTTTTTCTAAATATATTAGACAGTGAAAGTAACTTTTTTTTTTATCAATAAATCATATCCATCTGTTTGACAGTATTACTAGTTTTTATTTTCCTGTTTCAAGTTCACACGAAGTCCACGTGCTTGTCCTGTCAATCAAAATCATTCGACAGTGTGCAGGTGTGAAAGTTTCGTCACATCGAAGACGAAGTGCGAGTATTTCCAGCAAGTTATAACATTTATTTTTATCATTTCTAGATTTGATACCAACATTTGAATAATAAATGAATAAAATATATTGGGCATTAACACTTGAATTTGAAACATACTCTCTGCCAATTTCAAATACCACCGCCGACACGTGTACATTGTGAACTAATATTGTTTTGTGACTTTTTTAGATGCATGTTTGTTTTGAGACTGAAATTTTTGTTCTAAAAAAGACCTTAACTTTTTTTTAACAGGTTAATTAAAATTTTCTGGAAATACAGTACTGACTAAGTAACCGATTTAGGGGAAAGGGGGGGGGGGTTATTAATCATATCGAATGGCAAACATATAAAGTTACGATGAAGAAAGAATTTTTTTTTCTCTATAACAATAGACTTTACATACATGTATTATAGTAGCGAAAATTCTGTAGTGCATTACATTTTAAATAAATATTTCCTTTAAACACACTATCAATTTAATTCGCTCCAAAGATAATAAATTAACAGGATATCCGCAGTACTATGTATAACTCTCAGAACTAGTTCTATCATATTTTCTGTAGTAACTGAATAAAAAAAACGCATTAGAATTAAATATTTTCGTAATTTTGCTGCGTAATTATTTGACTTGGATAATTATATCTCCATTAACGATTTGTCGTCTTTAACAAAACAACAAAATGTTGCAGTGCTTGAAGTATCTGCACATTGCCCTAAGTTAAATTTAATATTTCAGCATCGTTCTACATAGGTACAGAATGTGCTTATAACAACATTTATTTTCCAGAGTAATTTAATAAATAGCCTAATAGCTAAGTTAGAATAATAAAAATATATATCTTAAATATTTTTCCCCATGAAATAATGATTCTTCAAACACGATATGATAGTTATTAAATTAAAAAAATCTGTAACTCCTTACCTACAAAAAGATAAGTCCTTTCACTTGGGAGTTCCGAATGGCAATGAAAAATGAACGATAGGTGAACGCTGAACGCAAGGTGAACGCAAAGTGAACGGAACGAAGAGCGAACGCTGAACGCTTTGTGAACGGTGAACGCGAGCGCACGGTGAACGGTGAACGCAAAACTGTGAACGGAGAGCGAACGGTGAACGCACGGTGAACGAACGGTGAACGCACGCTGAACGAACGGTGAACGAACGGTGAGCGAACGGAAAAATGGGAAAGTAGAACGTTTCAGGGACTGTACATGTCAGTCATTAAATCTATATAATATACAGTATGCATAAGGGAGACCAAATGTATTATTACTGCATTAAGGAGACCAACTACTATCCACATGTAAATCAGTATTCAACCACTTTCACTAATAAATAAATAAAATATGAAGAAATTCCATGAACTTTTGGATCAACCCTCGTACATGTCAGTCATTAAATTTATATAATATACAGTATGCATAAGGGAGACCAAATGTATTATTACTGCATTAAGGAGACCAACTACTCTCCACATGTAAATCAGTATTCAAAACTTGAGATTTTAATACCCTAATAATTTACATGTTTAGTTACATGAACTAAATCTATTTACCTTTGTCATAATGCAAGAACTGTTTTACATTCAGCCAACTTTAACATTACACATGCATACAGTGTATGCCATGCATTAGGAAGACCAGATGCATTATTTCAACATTAAAGAAACCAACTACAATGGAACAATTAGACAGTATTCCAAAATGTTCATTCCAATACCATAGTAATTTCCCTTAATTTGTTTGTATCTAGATGACTTAAATCAATTTATCTCAGCCAGAATTGGAACAAAAAAACTAATCATAAAAGTGGCCAAACACATGAACAGACAGATGGACATGATGATTCCTATGCTTATATACACCCAAAGTTGCCAAAGTAGAGCAGATGCAGTGGTTAGAGCATCTACTCTAGAGTCGCGGAGAAAGAAGCTGATCCTTACATCGCGAGTTTGAATCCCACTGTGGGACGTGGAGACCCGTTCTTCAAATGAGACAGAGGTATTAACCGAGGTCCCATGTCACAGTAGGTGCTGGCTCAATAAAGATCCCTCAATGCTCAATGGCTGTAAGTGCTGAGTATAGGACAAAAATTTGCAGCTCTCCACCGACAAGTGGTGGCGTCTCTATATGAGTGAAAAATTCTCAAGAGGGACATTAAACAACAAACACTATACACCCAAAACTTTGTTTGCAGAAGATTTTGTGATACATGCTTTACAAGTATAAATATTGTTCATAAGGGAATAAAAATGCTATAATATATCATTAAGGAAAGCAACTGAAATTAAATGTGCACTTCTAATTGAACTAAACAAAATTACCCTTTGTCAGAATGTAGATTTATAAACAGGAAGGCTGTTTTTCTTCATTTTTTCCATGTCAGATTCAGACTGTTCTTGAAAAAATTCTGGCATACACCCTGTAAAAGTAAACAGTGCAGATAATAAAGAGCTTCTAAATAAACTGCATAATATTTAAATGATCCACTTAAAAGGGATAACAAATGCATTTAACTCCATCAAGGAGACCAACTGATATCCATATATATATAAATCAGTACATGTATTTTAATTGTGATATTTTAATATCCTAGTAATTTACATGTTTAGTTTCATGAAATAAATCTATTTACCTTTGTCCAATGACCAATGAGCACAAGCACTGATTTTTCCTCTTTTTTCTTAACGGAATCACCAGGGCCAGTCTGCGGTCCATATGATTCTGGCATATGTACACTCTGTAAAATGCATATTTGTACCATGTACAGGCATATGAACAATATTTCTATACTACATACATGCATCATTAAACTTAATAATCTTTTTTTTTTCCAAAATTCATTATTCATAGTGTTTTGCTGTTAGCAAAATTCAACAAAAACTACACCATATATATACTTGCCTATAAGGTGGTCCACCTATAAGTCGGTTGTATTTTTTGAGGTTATTTTGGAGGGATTTGCTATTGACCCGCTTATAAATCGGTACAACTTTTTGCCAGAATCAATTGACAATTTCAAATCAATGCTCTGATGTTTTAACCTGGTTTCAAAATACTAATCTTTTTATGACTCACCTATAAGCTGGACATAGAGTATATACAGTACCTGCATTATACATGCATTAGGAAGACCAAATGCATTATTGCAATATTAAAGAGACCATTGTGGCAAATGAAATCAATGTATGAATTGTATTCAAAACTACGGGTGTACTAATTTGTCTGAAGTATATCATGATATAATGTGATACACAGACTTTAACAGGATATGTACATATACCCACATGCCTAAATGTAACAACGGGAATTATCGTTCTACAATAATTTATTGAAATTGCCAATATGAATAAACAAAAGCAAACTTTGTTTCGATTGTATGAACTTTAAGTTTTCTTTTTACACCACGGTCAGATAATCTAACTATCCCCCTGGTTGGCTACCGGGTCCTTCGTTAGACTGCCTTATCGGACATGATATTTACTGAAGATTTGATTTTTGGTACTGACTTTTATACTCAAAATAATGTCTTTAATTGTTTAATTTCTTGAGGTCAATATCACTTTGATGTGTTCAGTGTTTACTTTGATATGTAATGATGTGTATAAGCGTGTATTTTCGATAATTTAAATTTCTAGCACAGTAATCGTCCCCAAGCTGCTGTTTCATTATCGTGTCATAGTACCTCTGAGAGTGCATTTTATTAACACCTCCAAATCACCTGGCCTGCGTAATTAAATTTAACTACCAAAAACAACAGTTGGGACTAATAAGGTGTGATTATCAGCAATGGTCCCATGAAGCCTGTGCTAAACCTAACGGAAACGTTCAACAGAACGTAAAATTAGCATAATGGGATTATTGTGTACTAAGGTGTGAATTCAGCGGAGCGAGAATTTGTTGGACTTTGAGATAACGCATGTGTTTATAGCACTTGGGACCGTAAATCTACTTCGAGATAAGCGAGGTATTCGAGATTTCCGTGTTCGAGATACCAGGGTTTTTTAAAATCATAAATATAATAAAAACGGCCGGGACCATTGATTCACTTCGAGATATCCGTGGTATTCGACATACTGGTGTTCGAGATACCGAAGTTTACCTGTATATCGATACATATCTAGATTAATGAATATATCGTATCAAAAACAAGAGGCCCATGGGCCACAACGCTCACCTGAGCACATTGGCTAGGAAAAAGCACAAATCACTTCAGTATTGAAAAGTTTAAAGGGGAGGGGGCTTGGATTTTGAACTACCTGAGGATGCTTCCATATCAATATAATAAATGGCTTTACTGTTCTTGAGCAGAAGATTTTTAAAGAGTTTTTTCCTATATATTCCCTTGTTAAAAATTTGATCCACCATTGTGGACCCTCACTACCCCCCCCCCCCCCCCCCCCATCATTTATCATTTGAACAAACTTGAATCGACACTACCTGAGGATGCTTCCATATCAATATGATTAAACATGGCTTTTCTGTTGATGAAAAGATTTTTTCCTATATATTCCTATGTAAAAATTTGATCACACATTGTGGCCCCACCCTACCCCTGGGGTTTATGATTTGAACAAACTTGAATCTACACTACCTGAAGATGCTTCCATATCAATATGACAAAACATGGCTTTGCTATTCCTGAGAAGAAGATTTTTCAAGTTTTTTTCCCAATATATTCCTATGGAAAACTATGATCCCCCATTGTGGCCCCACCCTACCCCCACGGGTCATGATTTGAACAAACTTGAATCTACACTACCTGAGGAAGCTTCCATATCAATATGACAAAACATGGCTTTGCTGTTCCTGAGAAGAAGATTTTTCAAGTTTTTTTTCCCGTATATATTCTTATGTAAAACTATGATCCCCCATTGTGGCCCCACCCTACCCCCAGGGGTCATGATTTGAAAAAAACTTGAATCTACACTACCTGAGGAAGCTTCCATATCAGTATGACAAAACATGACTTTGCTGTTCTTGAGAAGAAGATTTTTGAAGTTTTTTCCTATGTATTCCTATGTAAAACTTTGATCCTCAATTGTGGCACCACCCTAACCCTGGGGGTCAGGATTTGAACAAACTTAAATCTACACTATCTGAGAATGCTTCCATATCAATATGACTTAACAAGGCTTTGCTGTTCTTGAGAAGAAGATTTTTCATTTTTTTTTTTCTGTATATTCCTATGTAAAACTTTGATCGCCCCTTGTAGCCCCACCCTACCCCGAGGGGTCATGATTTGATACAAACTTGAATCTTCACTACCTGAGGATGAATCCACATCAGTATGACTAATTGTGACTTTGTTGTTTTTGAGAAGAAGATTTTTTTCTACATACATGTATTTCTATGTAAAATTTTGATCCCCCATTGTGGCCCCACCCTACCCCTGGGGGTCATGATTTGTACAAAATTTAATCTACACTACCTAAGAATGATTCCATATCAATATGACTAATTGTGGCTTTGTTGTTCTTGAGAGAAAGGTTTTTAAAGATTTTTTTTCTATAAATTCCTATGTAAAATTTTGATCCCCCATTGTGCCCCCCCCCCCCCCCCCCCCGGCCCGGGGGTCATGATTTTGTACAAACTTGAATCTACACTACCTGAGGATGCTTCCATATAAATTATGACTAATTGTGGCTTTGTTGTTTTTAACAACATCTTGAAAACAATTTCAAGATTTGTCCTACATATTTCTATGTAAAACTTTGATCCCCCATTGTGGCCCCACCCTACCCCTGGGGGTCATGATTTGAACAAACTTGAATCTGCACTACCTGAGGATAATTCCATATCAATTTTTTTTCTACATATTCCTATGTAAAACTTTGATCCCCCATTGTGGCTCCACCCTACCCCAGGGGGTCATGATTTGAACAAACTTGAATCTACACTATGTAATGAAGGTCTCACCTAAGTTTCAACTTTTACAGCCCAGTGGTTCTTGAGAAGAAGATTTTTAAAAGATACCACTAAATTTTCACTAATTCTTAATTATCTCCCCTTGAAAGAGGGTGTGGCCCTTCATTTGAACAAACTTGAATCCCCTTTACCCAAGGATGCTTTGTGGCAAGTTTGGTTGAAATTGGCCCAGTGATTCTTGAGAGGAAGATGAAAATGTGAAAAGTTTACAACAACAACAACAACGACAAAGACGACAACGACAACATACAACGGACAAATTTTGATCAGAAAAGCTCACTTGAGCCTTTGGCTCAGGTGAGCTAAAAATAACTTAATTCCAATACATTTTGGGAAGGCGGTTGTAATTCTGTGAAAAACTTGGGAATTTCAATCACCAAAGATTATATTTACCGGTAACTGTTTTGAATTAAAACTGATCAAAAATGACATAATCATTAAGGAGGTAGCACATCTTAATGATTATTACAAAATCATAGAAATACATAGACAACTTTACTTAACATGTTGATTTTACAGTCAAGAAAAGTTTGAATTTGAAGTGTTATTTTTAAAGACGGTGAGACAAAAAATTAAAAATGAGTAAAAAACAATTATTATTTTTATAAAATTCATGCATAATGATTTATAAGACTTTTTTGACAGAATTGTTAAAGAATTCAATATATTGCATATCGCATTAAAAAATGTCTTTCTTTTTTTTTTTGCTCAATACACAGCCCTAGCAAAAATGATATTCAACAAGGACTTTGATTGGATTATTAACATTCCATTCAATTGATCATAATTATTAACTGTTATTGCACTTTCATTTTCAAAATGTTGTTAGGTACATTGTTTGTTCACTCTTTTGCATTGATATTATAATTTATAAAAGAGTATTTTAGCAGAAAAAATTATCAATTTACCTTTCTTGGAATAAAGACATGTTGACCCTTGAGCTGAGATTTTCTCTTTTTCCATAGATTTGTTACACTGGGGTCCACATGATTCTAGCAGAGACCCTGTAAAAAAGGACTTAACTAAGGAAAAGCATGAAGAATATATGCCTATTATACATATCTTAAATTTTAATGAAAACAATGTTTTTTAATTAAGATCCATATATTTCTAATGATTGACATAATACAAATTCAAAATAAAATATGCATGTCTATATTATACACTGTACCTTAAGCAGACCAATTGCATTATTACATCCTTCAGGAGACCAACTTAAATCAATGTTTGAGAACTACTTGTGAGAACAATAAATTTGTCTACTTTACAGAACTAAATGTACATGGAATCTATAGGATCATGTTACTTTAATTGACCTGCCTTAGTTCAACACAGTAATCTAACAAAGAAATTGAGCCAAAACAACATTTTAAGACTTTTTGAACAGTGCATGTTCCTATCGTTTCAAAACCATTACCAGTAAAAATGCTAATATAGGAAAATGATGACAATTAATTAATATTGTACTTTCAGGTATATTAGATGAAGTAATCTGATTCGTCAAGAAACATTTATTAAAAAGCACTATTATCCGCTGAATAATGAAGCCACGCCCAGTGTCGCAACAGTCAACATTGCTTGACGACGGGTGATATTCCAAAAAATAGTGACTGCGCAGATTTATGCGCTCAAGGTTCACTATTATTTGTATTTGTATAAAACATTCAGCATAATATAATAAATATTGCATGTAGTTGAGTGTAATATTGAAAATTTTCACCCCTCGAAAACCAAATACGTCAAAAAGGGGATGGGTTTCTTTTCCAACTTCTACATAGTTTCGCCCCTGCAAAAACTGGTATAGACCTTGGAAATGTTTAAACGGGCTAAGAGAAATCAAATGCATCAAGAGTACTTAATTGTTTTTACCCAAGTTACATGCCAAAAAAGATTCAGAGAGACGTCACATAAAGTTAACGTTGATTTGAACTGAAGTTAGGGTGTCAAAAGTCATTCACGTCCAAAAGTGACATTGATCATGTGTGGTAGATAATAAACTCCTACAAGCTAAATATGCTGCCATAATCAAGTGAGGATCTTTCCCTAATCCTAAATATAAATCCATTTACAATATTATATGCACTTAAGCAGCTGTTTATGACATTGTAAAATTATATAAACAAGACCGGTTTATATAATTTATATCATAATATAATTTATATAATTTTATCAAGATAAGTGTATGGGGTAGAGGGAGCAGACATTGAGAATCAATGTTGTCGGACCTCGTGAAACTAAACTAACAGTCTTCCAAATAACCCGGGAGTCCAATGCCAGGGACCTGTTAAATTTGCAGCCGGGCATGAAAAAATTGCCAAATTACATGTCCGAAGAGGGCATATGTGAATCTTCTTTCATTGTACGATCTTTACTTGCCATTTATTCTGTCCTTCCCCCATTATTCGCTTAAACGTTGCTATATGTAATGTCGATGGATTGCCTGTCTACATTCTCGATACGACCTGTCAAATGATTGTCAATCTAATCATTGAAGTGTTTAGTTTAACTTATTTGTTTTCTCGAAGTTGCTTGCTAAATTACGAGATGTTCATCAATGCCACATACTGTGGCACTACAGTCATGATCCCATTTCTGAAATTCAGTTCAGCTAAACCGGCCAACAAATGACCAGCATGCAACTCAAAAGTTATTTATGAACAAAAACGCTTTAGAAAATGGCAATCACAGGCCATGGTTGGTTTACGATGCTGAAAAAATTAATATAAAACCTTTATACCTAATGGGTTTTTTTTGTTGCACAATACTGGTAAATGTAAGAATTTTGAGTAGGACATGTACAAATTTGAATGGGCTGGGTAAAAATGATAGGTCTACATGCCCGAAGGGCATGTGCTGAAAAAGAATTGTTGTGAAGACTGAACTAAAGCGACAGCGCCGGGTGATCATATAAAGTCCCCTTTATTACATAATAATTTGGCAAATTATCAACACATCAAGCTAAAATTTCCAACATATCTAACGGTGAGAATTTTTATTTTTTAAGTTGAAACCTCGTGACCTGTGAAAAAAATGAAATTTGTATCCCATCTAAAGTCTTAAAATGTATCAAGGTAATTTTCAATACAAATTTGTGGTTGGGGTTATAAATGAAGGATAAAACCAGAGACCTCGGAATGGAATACTCGGAAGTCTCTGGTTTTATTCTACCCCCAACTGGAAGTTGTATCCCATCTAAAGTCTTAAAATGTATCGAGGTAATTTTCGTGGAATAAATGAGTGCTTTACAATAAAGAGACTCGACCAGAGACGTCTGAAACGATTTATTTGACAAGAAAAAAGTCTTTTGAAGCGAACGATGTCATTTTAAAGTAGGTTAATGATTGATAATGATACATGAACAAAATACGAGCTTGAAGCGGGGGTGCCTGAAATTGAGTTAGATACCTTGTGGTAAAAATAAGTAGGGGTGCACCGTATATGAAACAAGTGCCTGTGATTGATACTGATAGTCTGAAATTTCTCTTCACCTAAATATTAAAAGCTTGCAGTGATCGCTATAAATCTATACAACAGTCAAGTTACATACGGTAAACTAACATAAAAACAAGATTACAACAGTCATGATTACAGATGGTACATTTTGAAGACTCTAGGTCAGTAGGTGAATGTAAACAGGTAAACACACGTGGGACAGTCACCGCAAATATGCACCACAAAACGACTTATAACATTAAAATGTAAATATTCATCTGCACACAGATTTTTGCATAATAATAATAATTTTTAAAAAGTGTAAATTAAAATATAAAATAAACAAACCTCAAACCTTGTAACAAGGCTCATTTCCCTACAATCTTATTCTGGTTCTCTGTCACTGAAATGCAGGGAACCAGGCTGCGTTATTAACTCGTACACAGATTTGTTGATACGAATAAACCTATAAACATATGGATACGAAATAAAATATTATCATAAAAAAATGAAAAATTTCAAATTGCTTGAAAAATTATCTTTATGTAGTTTATAATAAATGGTTGTAATTGTTTATTAATTTCTATCTATCCATTAAAATTTGATACGCATATCAGCTTCATATGTATCCGTCCGAACAATTATTGTTATTACACTCCCTGTCACATCTTCATAGTTAAGCCTGTAAGCATGGTAAGTAGGAATCAATTTCAGTTGAAGGGGACCAAAACCAAACATTTTTCAGTTTCATTTGGTGGGGAGGGGGGGTATAAACCTCAAATGATCATTTTATCTCTGTCACTGAACTGCTGAAAATAATGAAGGGAACTAGGCTGCGACAATGATTTGTTGACTGAATTAAAATACGAAATAAATTATCATACATACGAAATAAAATAATTTCATGAAAAAATGAAGAATTTCCAATTGCTTGAAAAAAAAGAAGCTTTTCATGTATGTGATTTACAATAAATGGTTGTACTTGTATATTTTCTATATATCCACAGTCTAGACGAACTCCAAAAACAGCGTGAACTCCGAAAACGAAGTCTTTGGCTCCATCATGCATTGCGGCAAAATGGCGTCCGATGTAAACAAACGATGGATTGTCGTTCGCTTTCTCCAAATATACGGCTGCACAATTGTGGATTTAGTGCATTATTACTTTATTTTATTTTTTGTTGAATGGATAATTGCATTTATTAAATTATTTTGTGAAAATTGACTTATTTATTGCTTCAAACTCTTGCATAATAGTGAATTGGATATACGACATCGAATTTAATACTGCCGGTAAGAAATATTTTCTTATTTAATTTATTGTCTCCTTGATTTAAATTTTATGTCGTTCCTACAATAAAGGTGCTTAATTTTATTTGTTTTTGAAGACACGCAACTTGTATTCATTTTAATCAGAAAATGTGCTTTTTTCACCACGGAGCAGAGATATTAACGGGTTCATTTTTAGAAGACATGTTGTGCCCTTAATATATCCAGAAGAGTGGTTTTTAAAGTCTTCATATTGATAGATAATAGTTTTAAAAATGTTTTCATAATAATATATGTTCGTATATCGGTAAATGACGATGGTAAAAACTTACGCGTTCAATTCAGATGTCGTATGCAAATAAAAAACCAGAATGCTAATTTATGTGTAAAATTCAGTCAAGTTTTTAACAGTTACAATATATATTGTCCCATTTTGCATATATATCCCTTTTATTATGCATATTTACTTCTCAAAACGTATCATTTTCTCTGTAATTGATCTGACTTGAAACGTTAACTTTGGAAGTAAATATCTCCTTTATTGCAAATAAAATCAAAAATCTGACAAATACGATCTCTTCCGAAGTCTTTTATTTAGCATTTCTGAGTACTGATATATTTGCCATACTTTCCAAAACTTTGCACGGACAGTTTTTGTAGACCCATCATTTTTGCCGAAAAATCGCCATTTTTTGTGTGTGTGCGCATGCGCGGACTCGATTTTCGGAGTCTTTTTCAGTCTCAATTTCTTACTTCCGGAAACGCTGTTTTTGGAGTTCGTCTAGACTGATCCATTAAAATTTCACAGTATCAGTATTTCACTATTTGTAAACATTAACAATAATATTAAATAAATGTTACACTCACTGTGGCTTTGACTGAGTTACTGTCACATCTTCATAATTAAACGAGAATATTCCCTTCCGTAAATACTATATCTGAACTGTTACCAATTAATCTTTCTTTGGTGAAAGAAAACCTAAAGGATGGAGAATAGGCCCGTACGTAATTTAGTTGGAGGGGGGGGGGGTGAGCACAACCAAACAACATTTTTCAGTTTCAGGTTGGGGGAGGCTACAAACCAAAAATTTTTTAATAAGCAAAAGAAAAATACATTATCAGAGGTTATTATTGAGGGGGCCCAAAAGCAAAAGAAAATAGATCATCAGAGGTTATTATTGAGGGGGCCCAAGCATAAAGGAGCAATGTTTTCTATAGTATACCTAAATTTCAGCAAAATTACAGGGGGCCTGCCCCCCCCCCCCTCCCCCCGTTCCTTCAGCCATGTATTGTATCA